TCTGCTTCACGACTGTCAGCATGACATATAACCACATTAGTAATTGAGCCAATGTTATTTCACTGGAATTTGAAAGATGGAGGAGCAAGTTTTACTAACTTTTACTCCTCTGTAAACTCAGTCCACATATTTCTGCTATTTCTGCTTAAACACTGACATTCCAAATTTGGCAAAATTTCTACTTCAAACCATGTAATCAGACAAGTATGACGTGGGCGTCTGTGGATCCAATCTTAGCCCCATAAGACGCCTTGGAACCCACTGAGCAATGTAAAAGTTATAATCTTGACTGTTTTTCTTAGTTTTCTCCCTGATAGCAACAACATATCAGTAGCAACCCTGTGAGTCATTCAGCCATAGGTTATAGTGAATCTCTTTTAGCCATCCAACTAACAGTTTGAAATTAGCTATCAAGTACATCTCACCTCTGGGCTGTGTAGTTGTCCACAGCTTTAAAGGTATAGTACAAAGTGTTTTTGTGGTAAAGCTGGAAGATGCTGGCCTCTTCCTCCTCCCCTTCCCGCTTGTCTGGTAACTTCACTGTGAAACCCAGCAGAGGTAAACTCTCTGATGCCACTTTCTCCTGCACACAGAAATGGATTATGAGATACAGTGATTTGACTTTGGGCATTTCAGCAATTTTAGTTATTTTTAGACAACGAATGAATGAGTGCTGTTCAGGTTAAAGGGGAGTGCATGTTTCCCCTCACCTCTTGGGCTCGGTAGGTGTAAAGCACCTTGTCTTTTAGGAGGAACCAAAGTCTCTTCCAGCTCCTCTTGCTCTTCTTGCTGCGCTGTAGACTGCCACTAATGGAGCCTTCCTCTAACATGGTCACCTGCACAGCATAGGAGCAGGAACGGACCAATAACTAGCAATGTTCCTTACAAAACATGGCATATCTGTCATCCACACCATCAGTAATCTGCACTGTGCAGTGAACATGGCCCTCTCTGCAAAGAGAGGAAAGCACATGTTGCAGGTTTACCTGGGTGAAAGAGGCTGTGCCTTTCCGATGTCTCCAGATGTTGGGAGGATGAATATTTTGGAACACAGCCGAGAGAGGGCGACTGGAGCGGTTTGGACGAGGGCTGCTTTTACCTGACAGTGCAGACATGTCTCCCCCTGCAGAAATATACAATTAACCACAGCAAAGGACAGACTATAACACCCACACTAACCAAGAACCAGGGCAGGTTAATGGTGCAAACTTTGTGTCTGCTTTATAAGACACTATAATCTTTTTTGGTGAATCCTAGCTGGGGTATGCATGAGTGAGGGAACTATGCAGTTTTGAATCTGAATTGAAGAACTTCCAATATGGTGGCTTTTTAAATATATATATATATAATATTAATACTATATATTATAGTTATAAACAGTAACATGTATGTGTGTGTTACATATATTAGGAAATTAATGTTTTAAGTAAAAAATGAAATAATAAAGGAAAGGGTTTCCCTTACAAATGAAGCCTTTAAGCTTTGCAGTTTTTTTTGTATTTACCAGCATAATTACACAAAATGGTGTGAAGTGTCAACATATTGAATTTAGCAATGCATATTTTAGCTTTGGTCCATGTTTTACATGATACTCAGTTAGTAGTACTAATAGTAACCCCATGACTGTTTTCTCTTATTTCTGTTTTTCCAAATGTATTACTTTTATTTTATGAATGTATTTCCTGTAAATACAAATTATTGTTTTCTTCTTTTTGCCTGATGCTGCGTCCCCACTATAACCATTGTTAATGCAGTTAACTGGTCAAGGGTTAACAATTGGCTATACTGGATAACAAGAAGAATAGCAATACTAAAAATGTAGGCTGAGAGGGCAGATTAACTGATTAAATTGATAGTTGAGTCCTAAAATGTATTCAAGCAGTTTTCCCACCTCTCTTCTTTAGCTCGCTGTAACAATGATCACACACTTTGCCATTGCGGTCTTATGTATTTCAGTGGATACTGTTCCTGGAGCAGCTCCGACAAACAATCTGTGTCAAACAACATAAATTCACCACAGATTACATTACATACACATTAAAAGCATAGGAAACAAAATGCTCTATCAAAGGCCCAATTTGTTGTATCCATTCTAACCAGATATTGAAGAATTATACAGCACTTTGTTTTGTTTCATGTTGCTCACTCTTCCGCGAGCCATGGCAGTGGTGGTGAGGCGCGGTCGTGTGTTCTCTCTT